TTGTTTATGTAATTTTGAATGGATTTTCTTTACCTTGATAAATGAAATGAGCACATCTTTGTAATGTAGATTAATATGCAGAGTAGGTACTTATTCGGTGCATTAGGGAGGAGATTCAATTAGATTTGGTTTTGCTAAAGGTTAATGAGTCGTGTGAGAATATGATTAAGGAATTGGTTAATTATTGTGTTGTTTACAAGGTTAATAATGCATGGATGTAAATTATAATTGGAGTGAATATGTGTGGTGGTATGATATCCTGAATTTGTGAAGATTGACTATATATGCACACTAATTAGGCTGGAGTGCAAATATGTTTGAAGTAGTGTAGCAACTAATACGTGCTAAATTATTAAGATATAGTGGATAAGAGAGTGATATTGAGATTTTTGAAACAAAAGATTTATATAAAAGTATAATACTAAAGGCCAATGACTGTGTTCTGGAGAGTTGTTTATGTAAGTTCAATATTGGGATGATGTTGTATTTGAAGATGCACTTACAATGTAACTCAAATGCATCTTTATAATGAATATAATGCATGAGGATGACCGGATATATCCACATACATTCGTTAATCGTTAGTTCAGCAACTTTAACATTTTGAGAAGGGATACAGAACTATGCATCACATAACATATGACGATGCACCATTATGATATATAAAAAGCATAGTCATATGCTATGTGATGTATGGTTCATTATCTCTTCTCCCGAACACCTACAATATGTAAGGTGCATATTGTACTACTAAAAAGTGTTGAGCACATTAGTTAGATTAATGAACGTATGGAAATATTATGCATATAAATATATTGAAAAATGCATTTGAACGTGTTATAAAGTGCAGATTGAATGAAAAATGGTGACAATAGAATGTCTTACAATGAATCGGACCGTATACAGTACAAAAAGCTAAAATACAATGAACAAAAGGTAAAATTTGACTCATTTCCCAACTTTAAGAGTTAAAAGAGTTCACATATATACGCTAGTTCAGCAACTTTAACATTTTGAGAAGGCATACTGAACTATGCATCACATAGCATATGACGAGGCACCATTATGATATGTAAGGTGCATATTGTACTAAAACGTGTTGAGCACATTAGTTAGATTAATGAACGTATGGAAATATTATGCATATAAATATATTGAAAAATGCATTTGAGCGTGTTATAAAGTGCAGATTGAATGAAAAATGGTGACAATAGAATGTCTTACAATGAATAAGACCGTATACAATACAAAAAGCTAAAATACAATGAACAAAAGGTAAAATTCGACTCATTTCCCGAATTTAAGAGTTAAATGAGTTCACATGTATACGTTAGTTCAGCAACTTTAACATTTTGAGGAGGGATACTGAACTATGCATTTCATACCATATAACGATGCACCATTATGATATATAAGGTGCATATTATACTACGAAGTTTAACACATTAGTAGATTGATGAACGTATGGAAATATATTATGCATATAAATATATTGAAACATGCATTTGAGTGTGATCTAAAGTGTATATTGAATGAAAAATGGGTGATAGTAGATTGTCAATGAATTAGACACGTATACAGTGCAAAAGCTAAATACAATGAACAAAAGGTAAAATTCGACTCATTTCCCATACATAGAAGAAAGTAACAAAACAACATAACCAAAGAACTAAATTGATCTTATGAAAACATGTTTGTTCGAGAGACAATTCTTGCTATCATGAGGTACATTGCACGATCTATAGAGCTTTTTGGGATGTTTTGATTCTTCAATATACACCTTCTTCGAACAGTTGATCCTCATACCATAGTCTTTATTTCTGGCAAATGAATAACCACATAGATAGAAAAACGTGAGAGGATGATTCAAGAAACACATCATTCTTTTCTTGTGGCAATTACACTAGAACACAATTCCGATGACAATTGTGCTACTAAACATACTGATTTTCACTAAACAAATGCAACCTACATGCACCGGGCATAAATGCATTACATCTACAGAGTATGCAAACAATGAAAAAACACCTACATAAATATAGACTTATTAAAATTATTTTGATATAGTAACAAAATAGCAGTTTGAACAAATTCATGATATGCACTCCTAGTATTAAAGAATTACTTAAATGATGGAGTCAAATCAAAATAATGCTACTGTATATTACTAGACATTCATGTTGGAACTCCAAAACAAATTACGCTGAAAAGAGACACAAGATCATAACAATTTTAAGCTTATGAATCAAATTCAAATAAGAAATTCTTACCTTGAGACATACGAATGAATTAGTTTCATCATCACATGAACTAATCTGGTCATTAAAAATACTACAGAGCACTGTAATTATGCAGAAAAGGAAGGTCATAGTAGCATTGTTAATTTTAGACTTCAATCGAATTTTAAGTGAATAACGCACAAAAATCTGCAACTCTCAGGCATTTCACAATTTAACGAGTTTTTTTTGGAATTAAGACAGAACTCAGGCGCAATTGTTTTTTGTATTCAATATCAGTTTTAGGAAGATTATTTGTATTCAAAGAAACTTCATAGAACCATACCTGATTCTGACTCCATGGCGTTTGATGACATTGTTTTTACCCTTGCCTTTCAATGACACACGGATTCTATTTCCATGTTTACCGCAGTTATGAAGATGAAGCAGATGAAGCGCAGGGATGGTTGAGTCACACGATGTGGTGTTGACCGCAGTTATGGAAACAGAGGTATTAACGGAAAGAGAGTTGGTGTAGTGGTCGTGATTCTATTTCCATGTTTACACAAATATGCAATGGCAATAATACCCTCGGGTGAATTATTTTTTTGATCGTAAAATTAAAACAGGCGCATGGAAATCAGGCTTAGATGGATGGTTAGGATGATTTTGCATTTTGTAAATTAAGAATTGTATGAAGATGGAGCAAAATGCAAAGTATTAACACAGATGCAAATCCGGGGTTTAGAATTTTAATCATTATCTCTTTCGAAAAGATAATTTTGATCATTGTCTCAACATTGAGTTTAGAAAAATAAAATATTACATTTTAGGAAATGAGATACTATTATTACATTTTTATTTTTATCAAATTACTATGAAGACAAAATTAATAGCAATTTGGCTGATTTATTTGTGAAGTGGGCAACAAACGAATACTTCATCTCTTTAATAGAATGTAATAATTAAATGATTGTTAGTCCGTGAGTCTGCTTAAAATTTGGTTATTAATTGTTGTGATTCGAATTACAGAATTTAATACTTATCAAATATGTAATGGATTTCGAAAAAGTTACCAAATGAATTAAGGCGGATTTCTATGGATTTTTGTTTCCATATCAATATGCAATCAAAAATAGAATCAAGCTAATAAAAATAGAAGGTATAAAAATAACTAAGTAATTAATACATATAATGACATGGCAGGATTATGTGCCGCTTTGTATGCTCTTAAAAAGTTCCTCTTTTATATATATATATATATATATATATATATATATATATATATATCGATTTTTCATACCATTTTTCTTTTTTTGAAATTTAGTTTATGAGTTTTTTACAAGAATATTACTAAAATAAAACTTATTTACATAAAAATGACTATTCATTACTACAACGTAGTGTTGTAGTAACTTACGTTCAAAACATGAACATGAATTACTATGATTTCATTAGTACTCTAATAACTAGTCATATTTTTGTAAAGCATCTTTATTTTGGTCATATTTATGTAATTATTTCTTAATTTATTAACCAGATTTTTTTTCATTTTAAAACTAATTACTAGACTTTTATTGATCAATTTTATATTTATTATATACGAAGTATTTTTTATTAAATTTTTATTATGACATTCACATTTTATGTTTATGGTATTAATTAATTATATTTTCTATATTTCATGAATTTTTCTATTTTATTAACGTTTTATAATATTTATGGTTTTGAGTTGCAGTTTTTATATTAGAAAAAAAACAGTTGAACCTGAGAATCGATCCTTGGTTCTCCACGAAAAACAGCAGAGCCTCAACCATTGAGTTGAGTGGATCTGTTTGTTGGCTCTTCACTTTAAGCAAACTTATACCCTTTCGTAATAAATTGTTTGAGTTAAACTAATTTTGCTAGTTCTTGCTCTCTAATTAATAATCAAAATAAAAATGATAAAACATATTATATCTATAAATGAGTATTAAGTACAAATACTAACACTTTGTAACCTTTACATTTTTTCTAATAGATGTCATATTCATATATATTAACTATCTAATGTCAAATACGTTTAAAATTTTGTTAAAAGTATTACTCCGTATATATTTAGAAGAATAATTATATCTCTATATTAAGAATGTAAGATCCTTATTTCTCTTACAGTTTACAATTTGTAAATTATAGTTGAATTCTTACATGCGATCTACAATGTCATAAGAAGCACTCATTGATCAGCTTTAGTAGCAATTGAGAGTGATCTATTGCATATCAATACATTATTGAAGATTTTATTTCATTTTTTTTAGAAAGAAAGCATTGTTCAATAAGAGTAGTTTAAGTTGAGAATTTTGATATTCTTGGTGTTTACTTCATCAAGTAGAATTGCATTTTATAAATTTGATTTTTTATTGTATCATTGGTATTATTGTTCTAAATTAAACATTAGGGTCTCTAATTTTACATTGAACAGGGTCTTCAATTTTTCAAGACCGGGCCTGCGCATAAGGGTTCAGTGAATCAGTGCTTCCGTTAGTTAGTTGTGTGTTAATGCTCAGCCGAGAGTTTTGAAAACAAAACTTGAATTGGTCTATTTTTGAAATAAGTTCTAAAATTGAAAAAAATATTATTTCTACTTTTGGACCATTTGCGAAAGATCCCTATATAGAAAGTGCGTAAGGGAATTGTGGACCAACCAATTTTATATGGGCTAACCCAGAGACTAAAATTGTCATTATCCGTTTGATCCACTTGTAGCCTACTAGGGCATGAAATGGCATGGCAGGTTAATATGGGAGAAGATCGAGGACAATGACGTAAAAAAGACCCTTAAATAAGTGGTGATTCACTCGTCTGCGTGTAATCACTTCTCACGCCCAGAAATAGATCAGTACACGTACATCAGAAGCGAATCCCGGGAGGACAACCGTCGATTGTCGGTCGTCAGCGGCGAAGATCCGACGGTCTTATTTTGTCGACCGAGTTGACGCGGCCTAGTGTTCACGTTCTAGGGCACTTCCATAACGAAGAAGAGATTCATGTTCAAGTTCTAATGCTATAGACCGACGACGAATCTCTGATTTGTAGAGTGGTGTAGAGTTCTTGTTGTTTCTCAGAAGAACAGGTATTGAAAGCCCTAATTTTTTCTTATTATGTACGCTTTTTCCTCTTGTCACCGGAGAAGAGAACAGTTTCGTCGCAAGCTTCGTCTACGTAGAGTATTCCGCCGAATTGAACCCCAACAACGACCAGATCTACGATTTCAGAAGGCGTTACCTCTTTTTTCTGGGAAACCTGAATCACTGATCAAGAGGCGATGGCTTAAGAAACTTTGTTTTGATGGTTACCATCGGGAGCGAAGCCATGAGGTCACTAGAATTTTGTTGGCATTTCTACATCTTGAAAGATTTTGTCATTGGCGGTTCTATTTCTCTCACTGAAGAGTCCTCACGGCAGTGAGTTGATAAATTAGTGAGGATGCACTCGATCTAGGCGAAACTAGACCTATCGTCGGAAATTGGCCCTGGTGGATGCGTTTTTAGACATTTGTCATCTTCGGACGCACCTTCAGATTGCCTAATTTTAATTTTAATTGACGCTGAATAGTAATATGTAGGCTCTCTCTCACTCGCTGTATGCTGCGATTTCAGCTGCCTGTTTCTCAATGAACAATTGTGGAGGGTTATAGTTATGCCGGATACAATGATGCCCTGGGCAGATATTGCATTTCTTCAAAGCGCTATAGAGTTAATGCGTTCGTTACTTTTTAAATATTAAAGTGCAATGTGTTGGTGGTTGGTGAGTGCATATGAGCGCTGGAAAGATCTACATTCTGTAGCATTGGGATGCTGATATTGTCCTAGTTTATAACATAGACCTCCCCTGATGTGATTTCAAAACTAATTTTGATGGTACTGTAGGAACATAGTCCTGATTCAAGATCTGTAAAAATCAGCTACCATCAAACCCTCATTGTGAATTTATATTTTTTGGGTTCTCAAACTTGATAATCTTGGTTACTTCAGTCTGTCAAACTTGATCATGTCTTCTTCTTTTGAGGTAATTTGCTACTACGAAGGCATGAAATATCATGAACTTAAATGTTTTCTGCTGTTTACTTTGTTCAGTTTACAGAAGCTTTGTTGGGTGTTTAAGCTAAAGGCTCCTCCTTTCTGATCCATACAAATGGTGAGTTATTTACATGTTACCCATTCATCTTTGTTCATTCTTAGTTATTTGATTTTGACAACATTTCTGCTCTGGGATGGTTAATGAAATAAAAGTAGAATGATCTCAATTCAAAATCACAGGAGTTGTTCTTTTTATGTATCTCAATACCTTTGTTGTGCATCCCCATATAAAAGCTTTCTACTTTTATTTTGTAAACAATTCACTAAGGATATTATCTGCATTAGTGAAATGGTGTTATGTGTGACGTTCTTTTTTGTAGAAGCTTTATTGTTTGTTTTGATTATTCATAAACAACAAGTTCTATTTATGCAATGTTCTTTTTGTTTCTTTTTATTTAATTTTCTAGGATTGTTTGGTTATATATGAAAATTTTCACATTATATTCCTATTGTGAAGTTTTCTGAAGTTTATAATTTTTTGTTATCTATGGATCTTATTTGTTTTCCTTGCTCATATTGTAGATTCGCAGTTGATGGGGTAGGAGTTATATAATCAAACATGCTTCGTGCAGTTGGTCATGAAGCATCTAATTCTACTATCAGTAGTCCTGAGTTGAATTGGATGAAAGTCACCAAAGGAAGACGCTCTAGTAAGCCTATTGGCAGAAGTTCCAACTGGGGTGGCAAACTTAATAGTCAGAGTCCCCGGAGAGTGGGAGATTTTTCAAGTTCTGATTCTGATAAGGTGGCCTTTCGAAATCTATTTCCACATTGTACCAAAAAAAGACCACCTGAATCTGATTTTGCCAACTTCTAACTGTTATTTTTTCAGTTATTTCATATTTCCAGTGAGGCAGATACCCCTGACAAAGTAGGACAAATTCCCATAAAGAAGAGGAGACATTTGCTGGCCACTCCTACCCAATCTGAAGAGATCAAACTGATTTCTAACCATAATCATCAGCCATCAGGCAACTTGAGTTCGACTTCTTATCCTATCCATCAGTTGGCAGCACTGAAGTTCTGTAATGGCGTTAGAGATGGCATTTCGGATGATGACATGTTAGCAGAGATTGCTAAAGGGATGAGCTATTACAACTCAGATGACTTTTCAGGAATTGCTCTACTTGCAGCAGCTGCATGCAGTAATGTCATGGATGGTGATTTTGGTACTGGGAAGGGACCTAAAGACCAGTTGGAAAAAGACAAGACTCCTGAAAGTGAAAGCCCAGATTCTCTTAAAACTCCTTTGGCTATTCCTCATGGTTTGGATGAAGATGACAATCAGCCTAAGGAACACATTATACCTGTATCTCCAAAAGTTGACAGGCTGTATTGGGACCTCAACGCTCCAATGGATTCTTGGGGGCAACCTCTGGATGACCAATCCATAACCAAAAATACCCAAAATGATATTAAAATTAAAGAAAAAGGAAACCAATTTGAGATGAATGACTTTGGTGAAGGAAAAACTGTTCCTGAGATTTCTGATTTTAATCTCAGGAAAAACACTGAGCTGTCGGAAGCGTCTGACAAGGATAGTACAGTTCGTGCATCAAGAACCTTAACTTCACAGGCAGTGCCAACCGTTGTAGCTGATGTTTCTCTTCCTTCAACAAAGTGTGAAGATCTGTCATCAGTCAACAATAAGGATATCGGTCAGCCAATGATGATAGGATCATTGTTTATTGAAAACTGTCACAAGTCAGATATTTCACACGTGGATCATGGTAAAATGCTTGGTGGTAAGGAAATGAACAGTTTTCGTGCAGGTTATGATTCTCCCTTTGAGGATGGGGAGTTGAGAGGATCGGGTTTATGTCGTTGGGAGGACAATGGGATTTATGGTGAGGATGCATTTGCTGTTGACTCTGACTCAGATGGAAATGGAATGCGTGATCACCATGGCTCAGAAGTGCTTGAAGGTGGCGGGTCTGAGGAGGGTTCACAAGGTTGTTCCGAGAAGAGACTTTCTTCATTGAGTGGAGGAGTTGTTGAATCAGATTTCAGTAGGTCAGTGGAGAACTTGAAAGTGCAAACCAGGAGGTTTGATTCAAGGACGGAAGGTAATTATGCGAGAAAAAGTCATGCACTTGGACTCAGGTGGTCATATAATGAAGACATTGGTTTTAGAACTGATAGAGAGAAGTTGCATTTGCGCACTGAAGGGCCAATGTATTTGGATTCGAAAGACAGGAAGAACTCTACACTGTTGGATCACCGGAGGTACTTATAACTTGAAGTCTTGAACTCCCTCCCTCCCAAAATATAGGTCACAATTTTTTTTTCATGCATATTAAGAGAACAAATAATTATGAGTTTCAGGAAAAGAGTCGTATTTGAACCAATGTTACAAGAACCGGACTGGTGAGCGACCCGGACAAATGACCGGGTCATGGGGTCATGGGTCAACCTGGACCCGGCGAGTCAACCCGGTCAACATTCATAATTAATATATAATTATATAAATATAATAACCTGGACCTGGACAAATGACCGGATCATGGGTCAACCTGGACCCGGCGAGTCAACCCGGTCAACATTCATCTTTTATACTTATTATGTACTTTATTAGTTAATCTCTTTGTCCCTCAAAACTTTGCCAAGTTTGACCACAAAGGGAGAGAGAAATGATAGGAACCGCAAAATGATTGATTAAAAGGGAAAGATGACAAAGTTTTAAGGGATAAAGGAATAATGCTTAAAAATAGTGTTTTATTGTTTTAACTTAACATGGTATGCTTTCATAAAAAACTTAACCTGGTATTGTAATGTTATAATTTCGCTTAAAGACCAACATATGATAACCAGTCATTGCAGTCCATTGGATTACAAAGCATTCCTTCCTGCAAGCTAGTGATGCGAGTTTGACTCCCTGCTGTCACCTAATTTCTTTTTCAGTTGGTTTTCCATATTTTCCCGGGTTTGAAGGGTTACGGGTCTGTCCCGGGTCATAAGGGGTTACTGGGTATTTTCAGGTTAACAGACAACCAGACTGGTTTAGGCGCCGGGTTCCGGGTCGACCCGCCCTTTCTGGTCCAATTCTTGTAACATAGATTTGAACAAAAGAAGTTAATGTTTATAATTTTTTTTTGTTTTTGTTTTTAAAAGAGCTCTGAACTAGTCTAGATTAATTGTGTAAAAATTAAGGCGAGCAGGAGTTTAAAATATATCAAGAGTATGATTTATAATGTATAAACTATGAACTTTACCAAATACTTTAGGCAGTATTTGGTTGGTAATTCATTTTTAACCTTCAAGAGATGCGTATTTTTTTTAACAAATGGTTTTTGCAGATAGTTTAGAATGACCAACCAGAAAAAGTTCATTTGACAAATATATTATGATGTCTTTTCCAGGCCCCATAGACATGAGAGAGATTTTACCTCTGAGAAGTGTGTGCGCAGATACAGATCTGGATTCCATCCACGAGATAGGAGTCCAGGTGATGGTCATTTGGTGGGCAACACCTGGGACTCGAGAAACCGGTTTCTGTCTAGTTATCATCATGCCCCCGAGGACCAGGGGCACCCTCGGCGAAGAACCTTTGCTGCTGATGTAACTGAGAGGTTAAGCCGTATGGATTCCCGTGATCAGAGATTTTATTCGTCAAAGTGTACAGAGAGAAGACCTCCAGGGTTTAGGCGGAGGTTAGTGGTTGATGGTGACGACTGTTATAGAGGTCCTAGGAGAATGGGACCTGTTCGTAGTGGATCTGACAGTTATTATTGTTCTCAAAAGAGTAGTAGAGGAGACTTCAAGGGGCATGCAGGTAATTTCTCGTTACCCAGTGACAATGGTGTGCTGTCCGTTAAAATGCAGAAATGTTATTCAAGGAAATCTAGGTCACGGTCAAGATCCTCTTCTCCTCAAGCCTGGCGTTATCGACAACAAAGAGATTGGAATCCTCCAAGCATGAAGCGCTGCATGTCTGGCAGATCGCCCGACCCGAAGAGAATGAGGGATATTCCTTCTTTTAAGAAGTCTTATGTAAGAGGAGGTGAGTATGGAGAAAGGTTTGTATCCCCACATAGACGGCACTTCTCCCCCAACCGGAAATTCAAGTGGACAGACAACCAACATTTTGTTGGTAAACATGGTAGATCACCAGTGAGAGAGATGAGCAGGAGTGAACGATTCGATGGTTATGGATCTACTTGGGATCACCAGTTCAAGTCAAATGGCAATTTCAGACAAGCGAGGAGAGTTTCTGTGATGGGCGGCGGTGGCATGAGAAGGGGCTCTAGTGTGAGGCGTTCTGTGGATATTGTTGAAAAGATGGGAAAGGGGCATGATGATGTTGATGAAAATTTGGAGACAGCCGATGAAGAAAAAGATGTCCGTTGCTCTGATCAAAGGGATTCACCACAAGGAACCACTGCTAGGGATAATGATAGTAATAATAATCGCAAGTCTTTAATAATGCAACATTAGGCCACTTTTTTATGTTCTGCATGGCCTAGTTTTTGCATAGGAGGATTGTTCAGGAAATGGAAAAAGAAATAACTCAATGGCCCATAGTTTAGGTGACTAGCCTGATTCTACGTCAATTAATTGGGCAATATATTTTGTCGTAGGTCCCACATTTTTTGTTTGGGAAAGGCCGGTTTTCGTTGTTTAACAAGTGCCTTTTATTTGTATTATATTATATTTTGGTGTAGAAAATCCAAGACCTGGGAAGGACGTTTTTTTTGTGGTCATAACATCACCAACTAATGAGGTTCGGTTGCCTTTTTTAGTTGAAGACTTGAAGAGTTGAAGATGCCAAATTGTGTTCAGAGTTTCTGCTTTAAGTTAAATGAATGAGAATCTGTTTTGGTAGGGTATTAATGATACGGTACGAATAGATAGTAGGTGAAACTCAGCCAAATGGCTGGCATCACACCAAGCTAAAAATTACCTATAAGATTATCGAGATTCATAAATATATATTCGGTTTTATTGGCATAAATACGGAGTATATATCAAATATAGTACTCGTATATTGTGAGAACTTCATTTTGTAGGCTTTCCTTAGAGAAAGTTATTAGCATCACAGGACCAAATTTAGAAACACAAAAATATGACAATTGCAGTTGTTGGATACTTTTGCGCTATAACATTGCATCTAATAACGGCTATTACTATTTGGTGCTGTTGTCTTTTGCAATGCCACAGCCGCTAGATCGTGGTGAGTATGACCATCTGGCACCACAGCTAGGGGTGGACTCGGGCCGGGCGGCCCGGCCCGGTCACTGTTTGAACCGGACCAAACCGGCGGCCCGGCCCAGGGGCGGTTCGGGTCGACCCGGCCCGGTGGGGTTCGGTTCCGGGCTCGGGCCCTCCATTTGGTGAACCGGCCTGGTCTGGGCTGAATTTATTTATTTTTTTGATTTTTTTTTTTAAGTTTTTGGGTTGAGCTGGGTATTTTGGGCCATTTGAGGTGGTTTGGGGTGAGGGGGGTGGGTTGGAGGTTAAATAGGAGAAGCCAAAAAATAAAATTACAAACCGGGTGGCCCGGCCCGGCCCGGCCCGGAACCGGACAGGGAACCGGTGACTACCGGTTCGGGCCCAACAAAATAGAACCGAGGCCCGGCCGGGCCCAGGCCCAGGCCCGAACTAGGCCCGAACCGGCCCGAGTCCACCCCTAACCACAGTCTCGGTGACGACTTCTTTTTCCTTTCCCTTTGTTATCAGAGATGACGGAAGTAGTATCGGCAATATTACTATTGTGTGACTCACATTAGATGTCATTGGTTGGAAAAAATTATAAATAAAAGACATTTTTAATTTAGCAGAGCTTTTTGTAAATGAGGATTGTATCAGTTTTTCTAGTCCAATTCTTCTATAGAAACGAACAAAGACTACGCGTATATACATTTTCAAAATTTTGTTTTGATACATAATGGTAATGAAAGTTATTTATTCGTTCGATTAATTTTTTCATTCTAATGCTTTTCTTCGGAATTTCACCGAAAACTTATTATAATCCCTTCATCGAGTTAAGATTGTTCAATTTTTCTTATTTGATCCATTCCACTAAAAATATCTCATACCAAATTTGACTGAATTTGAACAAAAATGGGTTGTGTGTATTGTTTAGATTAGGTTTTTATTACTCCGTATATAATATTTGGCTGAATTTGACTAATAAATACTTCATCTAAAGCGTGTAGGAAGCAACACAAAATTAATTCAATATCAATTATAACTACATGTGAAATTGACGACTCACTTACAACCAAGTATGACCTTAAAAAAACTAAATAAGAAAGACTAAATAATCGAATCAAAACTTATCGAGGATTTGAGGTGTAACACACATAATATCTATTGTAGTGTCTAATTACAACTCTTGCAATATAGTTTATCCAGAATATAGGAGTTAGACATTAGCTGCATATGGTCAAATTGTGTATGAACCAATTCAATATAGGGGAGCAAGATTAAGAAGAAAAGTTGTCTGAATGACTACATGTTGTACAGTAGGAAAAGTTAAAACTGAGTTCATTCTGGATCAAGGAGTAATCTTTCGGATCAGACACTTATCAGGTGCTTTTCATTATTTATCCTCTTTGAAATCTTAGCTTATCCCAGGTTGCTGAAGAAGGTGATATGCAAAAGTGCACCTGTTCTTAAGTGAAAGCTTATTTTTACTTTAGTTCGAGTGGGAAATGCCCCTCCAATGATGCAAGAAAGATTTTGCAACCATCTATATATGTTTACCTTCTACCAAAAAGGAAATAAAGGACTTCAGGAAGGGATGACAGAACCCCCTATTAAACAACATCAAGTTTGCCACTTTCCCATAGTAGATACAAATAAAATGTTTGCAACAAATATTACTGAATATGGCTATTGATGAAACTCTCATAGACAAACTGGGCAGAAAGAAGATCAACAGCAGCAGAACCAACAGATTTGAACACAGTAATTTCATCCTCATTCCTTCTCCCACTCTTTTCCCCATTGATCAGCTCTACCAAATTCCCAACTATGCCCTCCCTGGTTATCACACCTCTCTCCAACGCCCCGACTATCTCCCCGGACTCTTCCACCACCGCCTTGTTATCAATGAACACTCTTCCCCTCCTAATCGCCTCATCGTCGCACTCCTTCATTGACGGCTTGAAAGATCCAACCATATCCAAATGCGCCCCCACCTTCAGCTCCTTCCCCTTCACCAATGGCGTCTCCGAGTTCGTCGCGCAGCTCACTATATCTCCCAACCCCACCGCCTCCTCTAAACATCCAGTACTCTCGAGAATCACTCCTTCGAATCCGATTTCGCTTCTCAATTTCTCAACAAGAGATTCCGCCCTTTCCACAGTTCTGTTCCAGATTATCACCCTCTTCAATCCGGGCCGTACGGTCAAATGTGCCCTGATCAGATGCGGGGCTAAAGCGCCGGCGCCGATCATCGCGAGCGTCTCGGAGTTTTCCCTGGATAGGTAATTTGAAGCCAGAGCGGAGATACAGGAAGTGCGGTAGAGGGTTAGCTCGGTGGCGTCCATGGTGGCTAGGGTTTGGCCGGTGAGGGAGCTGAAGAGCGCGTAAGTGGCGTGGATTCCGGGTAAGCTGAGGGCGGAGTTGTTGGGATGGTAGGTGACTAGCTTGACGCCGACGTAGGGGAGGGAGGGGGAGTGGGACCAGGAGGGCATGAGGAGGAGGGAGGATGAAGAGCTGGTGTCGTGAGAGGTGCGGAGTGGGGATCTGATATCGGCGGGGAGGGTGGGCTGGAGATGGCGGATGAGGGAGTCGTGCGTGATGAGGCGGCGGAGTGTGGCGGTGGAGATGAAGACGGTGGTCGCCATTAGGACCTTTCCAATTCAATGTAGTCTTGGTCTCTTGGCATATGACCTACATTGGGTGGGATCTTTATCCCGGTGAAATAAATTACCCCCTCACTCCCATAAGGTTCTTCCTACGTGAAAATGTATGATTATAGTTATGTAAAAAAAATGTAAAATTAGTGTTAACGGTGAACCAAGTAGGTGGGAAGAATTCTTTGGGACGATCCAAAAAAGAAAATTAGAAGAATTTTATGGGACGGATGGAGTATCAAAGAATAATAACTAATACGTAGTCCTTTGTATCATCTTCATAAAAAAAATATTGCTGAATCGATCTATTCGATTAAAATTGATGAAGTTGATTTGATTGACTAATTATGCTGATTTATGAAAAAAAAATTATATTGAAAATAATTTCATTAATAAAATAAAATTAAAAAATCAAATGAAAATAGCTAAAATGACCCTCTAACTTCAGCCAATACAGCCAGAAAAGTAACTTCAACCATGTTTTTTCTTATTATTACACAGTTTAGTCCGCGAAGTCAAAAGTTACATATTTGGTGAAAATTCAGCTGATAAGCCTGATAAATCGAAGAACAAAGTCACCAAATAGACTCTTAATTACTTTTTTCCGTTAAAAAGAAATTTTATTAAAGAAATAAAAAGTACAAGTTCAAGACAAGAAAATAAAGAAAATAACAAGGATGTAAATAGCCCAACCCCCAGTACATTATAGAAGCCCCTCAATATAACCCCTCAGATATCAAGGTTTCTCGCGCCGCGTGTTTGTGATCTAGTCCTCATATGATGCATCCGATTATTTTCCCTATGCTTTTAAGTGTTCAAATTATATGAAGGTTTTTCTCTTGTGCTCAACAGAGCTTTGTGGCAAATTTCTCAATTTCCATCAGAGTCCCATAGATCTGCTACCGTCGAGTATGACCAAAATATTCATTTCTCATGGAGCATGAATCGCTGAAAGCTTCCTCACCATCAGTGCCTTCAGAGTGTTGATAACTTGCATAATAGTCAACCTCTGGAATGGTTCGCCTCGTAGCTATCCTCTCCTCAAAATGTCCCATTTGATTACCTGAAGATACATTCCTCAAAGTAGGTGTGCAATCATTAACTTTCTCTTCCTCGGTTGGTTTGCCAAAAGAAGAGACAATGATTCTTTCAAACTCTTTGATTAAAAATTGAGAAAGTGAGTCTTGTGTCATAGTGATTTGAAAGAAATCCTTGATATGTGTGAATGAGGTGTCAGTGTCAGGTATGCGCCGAAAATCCTCCAAAGAAATCACGAGAGATTGGTCAGATTGTTCAACATCGGCTTGTAACAGGGATCCAGAAATACAAAGTTCATTATGAGGGAGGTCCCTATCAAAGTTGACAAGCTCCCACTCAAAGTTAGTATTCGTTCTTGAAACCTGATTCAATAGCAAAGGCTGTTTGGTTTCACCTTTTTTCAACAATGTAAGAGCTCTACAAATCCCTGAAAGAAAGAGTTTAATCCCTATTCCATTCCTTCCCTCAGGAATAAACAGATTCTCACCACCCTTCTCAATGATGCGAAAGAAACCACCAAAGAAATTAGCATCATAGAATAAATGAAATGAATTCTTCAGCTCAAATTTGATGCAAGACCAGTTATCCGATATGAGTTTGGTCATGGAGTACCTTAGCAAAATGATGCCTTCAATATCAAGCTCAACAGATGATGAAATTGCATATTTTGTTTCAAATATACGAATAGTATTGCAATCAATAACATAGAAACAAAATGATTTCCTTTCAATGATAATTTGAAATCAATCTGCTGTTTGTAGGAAAGGAATCGAGTGATACCTAGAATTTACCCATTTCGTATCTTGTCGTTCCTTCATGAGATGGAGTCTGCCTTTCCCTCAATTTAGATCCATGTGCAGCTGCTCTATGCCAATTTCCTTAATTACTATTTTGTTCGTCATATTCCTATTGTTTAATGTTTATTTTTATATTTGTTTTCTCCCTTTACTTTTATAATAACATAATAATGTAATAATTATTTTCTTTGTTTTTATATGGAAATCAAACTTATTGTACCAGTTACGTATTTTTTAAATAGTGTTGAGGTTTATTCCTTCAAGTCTAAAGGTTCAACACGTTCCTTTGACGGTCGTTGGAATGTTATGATCAAGGTCAAAAGGGTATGGATGATGGCAATAAGAAAAAACGATTGCTCGGTTGTATTAAGGTGAATATGCTGGTTATAGAGAAATGACCTAACGGGATCTCTGAATCAGTCTGAAAGAAATACTAATACAAGGACTGGAGGGGAGTATATTGCTTGTGAGTACTAATTTACTAACTCTTTACAATGAAATAAATGCTGATATTTATACTATGAAGGACTAGTTGAGGAGGTGACGTGGCCAACTCTAAGTGGATGATCCCGCAACCATAAAATCCTCTATATCTCTTGCATTAAATGTGCTTCCCGTCAACTGTGAGATTTCCCGTCAATGTTCTTGGGCTCATCCTCCACGGCTGGCTTCTTGTGGCGGAGTAAATGATCCAAGTATGGTGGTGTAGCTGTTAGGCAATGCCCGTGCGGCATAGGCCGTGCGACCGCGCCCATACTGGACTATCTGTTGGGATACTTATGTGGATCTTGGGGATATTTTGGGCCTGTATTTGGGCCGGGCCCTAATATCCCACCAAATAGTTTCACTGATTTTATATTGTTAGAAATTATTTTATTGTGTCTAATTGCATTAGTTATTTTTTATGAGGACAGTACTACAATATGACCATATGAGTAATTGGTGAGTACCTTTTTAGACAATATTTGAATTGTTTTTGTAACACTTGTGATGTATGAAAGTTAGTGGAAAATATATACTACCTACGTCCCACTAATATTGGAACAAGATAGAGTGTATGATTATTAAGAAAAACGACTTCATGTAGTTGATATTGAATTGATAAAACATGAATACAATAAAACCGATTTAGAGCCACACAAACTTTATCAAATATGACACAAAGTATGTGACAATTTTCGTGGGATTTCCTAAAAAAGGACAATTTTAGAGAGACGAAGGGTAGTTGGTACACTACATAGTCAGGGCCAGTTCTGGGGGGGGGGGGGGGGGGTCAACAGGGCGACCGCCCTAGGCCCGAGAAGAAAAAATGGGCCCAATTTGTTTTCTTTATATATAGTGTGAGTAGACTTCTTTTTTATTCTTACGTTCAATTAACTAGGCCTACAGATTAATTTTGTTGACAATTTGAAAATTTAAAACATAAACAGCAGGTCTTAAACAAACCCAAGTTTAAAATAAACATATATACAATAACTTTAAGTAAGTCGTTTGTAGTTTTTAAAAGCAATACAATTGTTGTTGGATCAATAAAAGGTACGCCTTTTCAGTCTTCACATGTCTTTAGTCTTTAAAGCTTTTTATCATTGTAATATTAAAACATGACAAATTTATATAATTATTTTAGAACATGTGGCTCTCAAATCTCATCCCAATTATTTATGTGTTTCCAAATTTCAATAAACTATAGATGAGTTCCTAATATTTTGTTTTAGAAGACATCAAATTGGCAGTCTTCTTGCACGAGTCTTTTTGGCGGCCACAGATTTTGTCTCTTTGAAAACCTTCATTCTTTCAAGGATTCAAACTTTAGACGATCATCAGCGGTCAATAAATCATTCTCAACTTATGAACTCGATATGTAGTAATATATCTTTTCATTTATCATTTCAGTCCTAACTGAAATAAAGTTTAGTGTTGTTATATGTGACAATTTTATTGTTTGTCATGTATATTAGTGGAAAGAAGGTTTCCGATTATTGATGATTTGCTACAAATTGTTCTATGAGAAACATTTTGAGTAATGCTTTTTTCTTTTTATTCAATACTCTCCGTTGTTACTTTTTTTCAAATATGTAACTTAAAATAATATTAAAGCGTCTCTCACCTTTATTTTATGAATTTCATTGGATACTTTTATTATAATTCATATTTCAAATAAGTATATAGTTTATTATTTGTCTTGGATATAAACCCAAAATAACTTATCCCGATAAATGGGACCGGCCCTGTACATATGAACATGACTGGCCCTGTACATAGTGATTAGCGAACACTTTAAACTATGTAATAATTCATTTTTGATCACGTATTGCAGTGACATTTAAATTATATAATCATTTCTTTTTAGCTCAAATCAAAATTACTTCTCATCAATCAAATCTGAATTTAAACGGTTCACGACCATTTTTATAACGATCAGTTTTAACTAATTCTATTGAAGTGGGGATTGAGTGATTGACTAGGTACCCGGCCCGTTGAGCTTATTTAGTGATATACAATGATGAGTTGAGAGGCGCGTTTAAGATCTAAAATTGTGATCAAAGCACCACTATATTGAACTTTGTGAGAACACATCAAGTGATCAAGATGTAATTTTGGCCTTTTAACCAAGGACAGCCCAACAAAGTTTATTTTATCACAGAATGAACACAAAGAAGGAAAAATAGAATATGAAAAAGGACCCAAGGAAAACTCATCCATATATGAAACAAACGATGGGTACTCACTTTATTTATTCCTCCTTAATCTGCTTCCTCCATCTTGCTTTCCTCACCAACATCTTCCAACCCACACCTTCCTCCTCCTCCTCCTCCTCGTCAATGCCGAGACCCAATTTCAACATCCGATCCTGTGAGATGGGAGTTCGTGCAGCAAAGGTATTCGGATATTCCAAGCTAAAACCCGACGACAGCATCGCAGTCTCAAAGAGAAGCAATGCCAAATCCTTCACCGCCATGTCGTTCTTATCAGCCTCTGTTCTCTTTCTGAGCTCCTCCATGATCCCGTTGTCTGGATTGATCTCCATTTTTTCTTGCTAGACATGTAAGAGCCCATGGTGGTGTCTCTTAGAACCATAAACATACACATAGCGAGATACATAGCACATTTTATGTTTTAGTGGAGACCAGAAAATTAAATGATCGAGGAAAGTAGAGCATAGTATGGAAGAGAGAAACCGAAGTGAAACACAATTACAAAGAATAGAAGCATTGCATTGTGATTAAGTGTCTAGCTTATTGGGTTGCCAAGAATGGGTTGTCGGTGCCCAACGCCCAACTCAAGCAAATATAGATTGATCATTGATACGTACATGAAGAATACTTAAGCACCTACAACCCATTATTGGCAACCCAATATGCTAAACACTTAATCACATGCAATGCAATGCTTCTCTATTCTTTGTAATTATGCTTCACTTCGGTTTCTCTCTTGTTTACATATGAAAAGTTCAAAGTTGAGTTTCCCACCCTCTTTTCATAAATGCTAAACTAGTATAGTATTGAGAATAATGTTGTTGGGTAGTATTCATTATATATTATTTTCCCATATCTCTCACCATTTTATTTTACTTTTACATATCATAAAGCACGGATGATAAATATGTGCTTGATTCCCTCGTTGAATTAGAACTTTTTAAGTTCTTATGATGGAGCCATAGAGGTAGAATCAATTCATGTAATGTATATATTTGAAAATGTAATTACGTGTAAGACATACAACAATTTCTAGAGATAGAAACGAGTTCCTGGACAAATGTATTTGTTTTCATGAAAATAACTTTGAATAATACAGAGTACCCATTATCGCGATAAAGCAATAACAATACCTAAATACCATACAAATAACTAATTCATAGCCTAACTATTCACACATATCACTTGATGCCTAATCACTGTCACTCTCACCTCAAATTCAGTCATTCAAAATATAAAAAATGTATATCATACCATCCAATAAAGCTTATTTGACAGTTAATTATCATACTCCGTATTTGTATAGACACTATGGTCATATATTTGATGTTAACATGTTGTTTCAAGCGAAGTACTCCCTATTATTTTTGTACTATGTTTAAATTGCTGGGTTATGAAGTAATTATTGGTTATTTATATGCTCTGTAGACTGTAGTACACATATATATAGAACTATCCGTTTTAAAAACATTAATGGCATATACTATGCACTTCATGGTATACACAAAAGAGGCAAAAACAAATTAAGATTCATAACTATTGTTACTTTTAAAAAAATTAATAAGGAACATTTTGTTTCTTTCCCAACAATTGAGTACCAAAACATGCATAATATTTGTACTGATATTAGCGGCCTCGTTTGGATAGTAGTGGGTCGATGAAACTGCTGATTATTTTATGGGTTAAAGCGCTACAAAATGCAGCGGGTATGGTGCAGTCCGCCGAAAATCAAACGACACCATTGTGTTAAATATGCAATCTCCCGCTGGTATTAGAGGCGTCTCTGGTTTGGAACCAAACCGGAAGTTGAACCAAACCGCTTGCTCGCAGTTCCAAATTCTAGAGATTCGGAATCGGAACTGCATAGTACTGATTCTAAAATCAACACTACCGTTAGATTTTGTTAAAACCAAATGCGAATAGGTAACCTCCGATTCCGAACCGGATTTACCATACGGTTTCGGTCCCGGTTAAAAAAAAGGCGGTTCCGGTTCCAATCCCGGTTTAACCTCAATCTGCGGACAGGTCTAGCCTCTGTAGAGTGGGCCCCGCTCAGCTCGCCGGAATCAATGGCGGGGATTTGAATTTGGAAGCGACAAAACGGGCATGACTTATTTTGCAGCAACCACCTGAGTATACAGCACTCATGGGAGCAATGTGAGCAGGGCAACCGGGCAACCACCGACCCAACGCCCAAATCCGTCAAACAGATACCGCAATTCTCTGCCCCACCGTCATCTCCACCGCCCGCCACCGTCACCCTCTCGATAACCTTCCCCAGAAGTGCCGACATCCGAAACTCCATCATCCTCTGCGGCTGCCGCCAAACCCGCTCGGTCCACTCCCCGGTAGCCGCTTCCCGTCTCCTCCGTTCAGCCA